CATTATCCTTGGTTCGATCATAGACAATCTAAAAGACAGAGACTGGAAACGATAAAAGCAGCGATGCTGGCATGCAATCCGTGATGCACCTAAATCACGTAGCAAGTATCTGTTGCCCTGACAACCTGCCCTAATTTAACCAAAATAATCACAAAGCTGTTTTATATTTTTTGCCTATTGGCATTTTTAAAATTTTTATTTACATGGAAAATTTATATTACAGTAAAAATAGATATTATTCCTCAAGGTATGTATGATTTAATATTTTTTCCCTAGTTTATAGTAATCAAATCTTAACTTAAATCGGAACCTTTATATCAAAATGGCACACGAAAAAAAATCCGCGAGAGTGTACATATGTTTTGAACCCTGAAACTTGAAAATTAAGGAATCCCTTATCGCTTATATCCAAAATTTATCGTCTTAAACGCACTGTAAGTGTATTTGGTGCATCAACATTGCTAAGCAATTTGCCAATTTGGTAAAATAAAGGCCTTTTTTATTGTTATGATTTTGCAAATATTATTTGTTGATTTTGCTCTAGTTTTGAAGTGAAAATTTCCAAGCCAACACCTGATAATGATATCAGTCTGCCTTTGTGTTCTACCAAGGAAGAAAAACAAACTGCAACGTCGGTTGTTCATGATATCAATGACCCTTCCTTTTATTTCAAAAAAGCTTTCTGATGACGATAAACTATCTTTTTTGACATCCAAGTTCCTTTTGCTCAAATGTTTTCAGTATCCTGTTACAGCAGATAGGAGGTTTAACTCGTCTTGGTTACAGGACAGACCATGGTTTCGGTATAGCATTGTAAAGGACAAAGCATTCTGCGCATACTGTATTTGCTTTGGGGGAGAGAAAAAAACTCTCCAAGAAGTTCATCTACTTTACATGTCTCTCCATTTGTGTCATGTGGATTTGGAGATTAAAAGAAAGCTGCAGAAGAAATGGTCTACTATTTTCTAAGCACCCGTCAACCTGGAACAGATATTGCAGCAAAACTTTCTAAACAAATATCTGAGCAACAAGTTCGCTCAAAAATGGGGTTATTATCTATTATTGATATGATTATCAGATTGGGAATGCAAGGAATAGCCTTAAGAGGAAATTGGATTAAGAAAAGGGGTGAGGAAAATGGCAATTTGATTTTTTTTCTGAACTGGAAATCAGAATTTGACAAATCTTTGAAGGATTATTAGCAATATTCTCCAAGGAATGCAAAATTTACATCTCCTCTCATCCAAAATGAAATCATTTCAATATGCGAGTCGATAATTTGAGAGAAAATAATTGTCAAAGTACAGACGTATTGGAGTTTATTGGCAGATGAAACAACAGATGTTTCCTCAACTGAGCAAATGAGTATATGTTATGATTTGTAAATAGAAAATTGGAAGTATGCAAAGAGTTCTTGGGCTTTGTCAAGTTAACAAAGATACACTAAATTAAATTTTGATATATAGCTTGACGTTTTTCATGCAGTTGAGATATTGCGGTTTCAATTTAAATATGCATTTTCAAAAAGTGGAAGAATTAGCTAAAAATGCCATATTAAAGTGAGTTGACAAATCCTAGTATTTTATCATAGGTACTCGTCTGTTTCAATGAAGTTTAAATAGAAGTATTTGACAGATAGATAAGGTATTTTTATTTTCTGTGTTATGACATGTTGGAAAGCATTATTTTATGTCCCATAGGCATGGGGAATAGAATGCGTTCGGTAACGTACAAATTTAAGAAACAATTTGGCATGAATTCTGTACGTTCTTTTGTTAGTATGCCTCTTTTAACGATACAACAGCGAGGTTGGGTTTGCACAGAATATGCCAGGGTTAACAATGCTCAAGAAGTCATATGACAATGGCCAATTTATTTGGGATAACATGCCTGCCCCTAGTAAACAAACCGTTATTAAAACATTTAGAAAGTTTTGGCGCATGCAGTATCTTTGTGGTCATGAGTAAATGCGGTGATTGGCCTTGGCCTTCCCACTCTCCTGATCTCACAGTGTGTGATTTCTTCCTTTGGGGGTATCTAAAGCACAAGATTTGAAATGTGCCTATGTTACTGAATGTCACAACATCAACCATGAAATAATCCATCGTTCATTTGACACCATGGTAATGCAAGCAAGACGTTGCATCAATGCTGGAAGGCATGCTTTTCAAAATGAATAGACGTTGAATTGTACGGTACAAAATGAATGGATAGTACTTTGTTGTTGTGTGCCTAATTAACCCATTAAGTGGCATTGCGCCCCCATGCGCCCTGGAATTGGCAAGTGGGTAAGTGGCATTGCGCCCTCATATGCCCTGAGCGACGCTGTATTTCTATTGGTCAAATATGAAAAACATGCATTGTTTGTTGCCTAGCAACTGATACCTTTAAAATCCCCTGAATCCGCTGTTTCAAATGAGACCTTGTGCAAGCTTGTACAAGTAGTATTGTCCAAGTTACGAGTGTTTTAAACTGTGCTTTTGCGAAAAAAATTGAAATATGGCTGAAGCGCTTCGTATGTTCGATAGTAGCGAAGAAGAAGAAGATTTTGAGGGCTTTTTGATCGACGAAACGGTTGAAGAGAAACAGCCAATCGCAGCGGGAACATTGGCGATTACGTGGCGAGAAATAGCGGGCGAGTCAGACGAAGAAGATTTTTTCGGTTTTTCGGACATCCAAGTAGAAGAGATTGAAAGCGAGAGCGATAGCGAGAGTGATAGTGAGATAAGTAGCGACGATTTTATTGATATTTTTTAATGGAAAGATAGTTTAAGTACTGTAAATGTTGAAGACTTCACTGCCGACTTTGGTCCTTGTCATGGGTTGGGTCAAGATGCTACCCCTGAAGACTTTTTCGACTTGTTTTTCGGCGGTGAATTTCTTGACCATGTTGTGCATGCTATTATTTCCTATGCTTGTTCAAAAGGTGACCAAAATTTTTCGACCGACTGCGATGAGATGTCTGCATTTTTTGGATTGAACATTTTAATAGGCATCAACCGCCTACCCAGAATCAGTCTCTACCGGGATTCAGATATATTTTTGGGAAATCCTGGCTTCAAAACTACAATCCCTTTGAGACGGTTTTGGATTTTGAAAAAATATTTTCACATTTCGGACCCGCGGCAAGAAAACGCAACCGATAAACTTACAAAAATTCGGCCCCTGATTTCAAAGCTCGAAAACGCTTTTCAAAATGCTTATGTACCAGGAAAAAATATTTCAATTGACGAAGGTTTGGTGAAATTCAATGGTCGTTTACCTTTCAAGCAATATATGCCTAAAAAGCCAAACAAATTCGGTATTAAAGTTTGGATGTTAGATGATTCGGATACCTACTATGTGCCGCGTTTTCAAGTTTACTTAGGTAAACAACAAAATGACAACGAAAATGATGCGGAAAAGGCGCAAGGTCTCGGTTTCAAAGTCGTTGATTTTCTGGGAAAACCCTACTTTAATGATTACTGACATTTCTTTTTCGATAATTATTTTTCTTCGATCTCCCTGCTTCAGCATTTGTTGGAAAACAAAACTTACGCATGCTCGACTTTGCGCCACAACAGGAAGAACTTTCCTGTCGATTTTAAAAACATAAAACTCAAGCGAGGTGAAATTAGAACTAGGCAAAATGGTAATTTGGTTTGTTTGGTTTGGCAAGATAAGCGCTTAGTCAACCAATGTCGATCCCGAGCCCCAAGTTTTCAGCCCTTTGGATGAGCGCACTGGAAAAACAAAAGCCGTGCCGGAAGAAGAACGCAAAAAACCCGCCGTCATATCTGTTTACAATAAGTATATGAACGGCGTAGACGTAAACGACCAATATAGGAGCTACTACCCTGTCGGATCTCCATCAAAAAAATGGTGGAAGTATTTGACTTGGTTTTTCGTTAATATTTCAATCGTAAACGCGTATATTCTCCAAAATTTGCAGACTGATCGACGCAATCGGTTGAAACACTTAGAGTTTCGGCTTGCCCTGGCAAGGCAACTTATTTCGACCTATAACGGCTACAAGAGAATTTCTAGCGGTCCGACTAGCCGTAAAAAAGAAACTCCTGTGGGTCAAAATGTCAAAAGCCATAGTTTAGTGAAGTCTTCAGAGCGAAAACGAGCGTGTGTGATGTGTGCGAAAGTTGGAAGAAAGTGTGCATCGGGTAGAGCTTTTGAGAGCGTTTATAAATGTGCTCAATGTAATGTAAACCTTTGTAGATTAAGAGCTTGTTTTAATGAATGGCATGAATAAATTTAGTCTAATTTATAGACAAAATCTTCTATGGTTTTTATCTTGTTTTAAAAAAATAAATAGTTTATATAAAAAACAAAAAACTGGCCTTTTGCCAGGCAGTTGCCGAAAAAAGAAGCCCTGAAATGCAGTTCTTCTGACAGCCGCGTTATAGCACGCTAGTAAAATCTCAGTGTTTTTCCCTCAGAGGCTTACTTATTTTACTCAAATTTATATTATATCAATGATGAATTTTCTGTTAATATAATGAGCTCAAAATCAGTGTTAGACAACCTATATTTATAGGTCAATTTTGGCTATAAATATTTTTTTCTTTGGTGCAAAAAACTATGCCTCAGAAGTCACAAAATAATTTGAAGCAAGTCAAAAATCAACTCTTGAAAACTTTTTTTTGAGTGTTTAGCAATGCAAAATCTTTTATATTTAAAATCCAAGCTTTAGAAGTATTTTGAAATATAAAACTCAAAACAAAAATTGTTGAAACATCAAAATTTTAGGGAAATCTGGCTTTTGAATATTCATTACCCAAAAATAGCCCAAAAAAGTTTTAAAAATCAGGGGCGGGTTGTTCGAAAGGCGTTTAACTTAAACGGCGTTTAACCACTATCCAGCGTATAAATTTATTATCCAGCGTTTAGTTAAACGCGCGATAAAATTGCGTTGCACAAAGCCCGTTTACTAGCGCGTTTAACTAACCGCTAGTTAAGATTACCTTAATCGGCGAAAACCGGTTTTTACCAGTCGTAGTCGTATCAAAATGGAGGCTAAAAAAGCAAGAAAACCTAGAAAACCAAATTTCTCCACAGCTGAGTGCAATTTAATTTTGCAATTAGCTGAGGAAAATATAGAGACTATAAGAGAAAAGTTCTCAAACACATTAACTAACCAAAAAAAACACACAGTTTGGCAGTCTATTTGTAATAAAGTGAACGCACTAGGCGTCACTTTGCGCTCGGAGACTGATGTTCGCGAGAAATGGCGAGCAATGTGTGGAGTGGCTCGGAAAGAAATGGGAAAAGACAGGCAATCGTTGGAAAAAACAGGAGGAGGAAGACCGACTGCACCGCCCACTTCAACAAGCCAAAGGATAATCGAGATTTTTGGTGATGAGCCTGGATTTTCGGGTATCCAAGGTGGTATCGAGTCAGGTAAGTGTCAAATTGCTCATGCGCCTTGCCCTTAATTATATATTCTTTCATTCACTACAAATTTCAAGTGACGAACTGCGAAGTTTTTTTCGGTTATCGTGCTGTATTTTTCTACGCTTTCGTCCTCTCGACGCAATACTTCGCACGATAAATGATAGTTTTGTTTTCGAAAGAAAAAGTATCAATGTCGCTATGACTTCATCTTTCATTGAGATAAGTACAGCTTTTGTACAGCTCTTAATATTATTATGTACCCTCGTGTTTGAGATGTGTCATGACATACATCATGATACTATTTTTATTGTCTGAAGGTCTTTAAATGTGTAATATCATTTTCTATACTCCAATATAAACATAGTATAAACATAGTAAACCACTATATTTTTTACTTATTTTCAAAACGTTGACCATTTTGTATTCTGTATTTGTAGGAACCAGTTTTAGCCCTGAGCCAGAAAGTTTCACAGTTGATAGTTTTGATAGTGTTGGTGAAGAGGCAATACTTCAAGGTGAGACAGTAGAAGTTGAAGTGGAAGTCACTAGTCTTTCTAGTGAAAGTACCACTCCCAAGTCCACAGATCATGCTGCTTTTGGGGGGCTGAGGAAAAAGAGAAAGATAACTAACCAAGATGTGCAATCAATGCATATTGATGTGCTCCAGTTGGAGAAAAGAAAGATAGAGTTAGAGGTGGAAAACCTAGAGTTAACAAAAATAAAGCTACAACTGGAGATAGAGGAACTCAAAGCAAGGGTTACTAATTTGCATTAATTTCTTACATTGCTGTCACATCAGGTCATTCAACTACCTCAAAGATAAAAAACAAACAAACAACTTTCTTAGAACTTTTTCAAACAAAGTCCCCAAATCACTACTTCTTGGTAAAGGTTATTTGCTTGGAACAATCAACTTGCTTGAAATTAATTCATCTTTGAGGTAGTTGAATAAATTCAACCTTGCTAGTATATTTTCCATAGAAATACCCAAACCCTTAGCACTCTTTAAATGGATGCACATGTGCGACAACTTAAATAAAACCTTTCCTCTGTACATTTCAAGAGTGGTGATGCCACTGTTGCTGTAGTGTGGTGCAATACATGCAAATCAAAGTCCTCACTTGATCTAAAAATTAAATTTTGATGAATTCACAACAATTTTAACATCATGCATTCATAAATAATCTAAATTATTCTAAATGCATGTACACACTTGTGTATCAGTTATTTAAATTTGTTCTAAGAATATTTACAGAACCATTTTTATGACATGCTCATTGCATGATAATTTGAATTATATTAATTTTTAATTATTGTTGTGCATGTATAAGTTATTTATATAAATAATCAATTATATTAATGAATAAATATTTAAATTTTTATCAAATACAGTTGTGTTAATGTACATATGATTAATTTTGAAATTTTATATGAATAGAATATTATAGGGATACAATTTATGTTTACACTCAATGTACAACAATTTCTAAAATGTTGAACTGCAATAAAGTTTTAAAAGTATGTATTTGGTGATTCCTCACTGCCTGTCCTGTCTCCACTCCCTCAAAAACTACATTTTCAAATGGCTCACCATTTTCAAAATTGGTTTCCTCCAGCTCATGGTTAATATGCGAGGTACGGAAGATGTGACTGTCATGGGTGGATCCAGGCCATCTGGCAACAACATTTGTAAATTTTCCTGCAAGAAAAACTATGTTAAACCCCCTTTATTTCTTCTCAATATGGTGTAAAAATTTAGTCTCTAAATGTCTTGTTATTCTCTCTTGCCCTGCCCATTACCCTGTTGCCCTTTTCACACCCTTATAACAGACCCCTATGAGGAATTTTAAGGAACTGCCCTCTCATAAACGAAAATTATAAGGAATTCATTTGAAGAATTTTTTTGTTTACATGCACTTTACAGTGTTTACATACTGCAGTGATACAGTCATTGACATTCAATATTAAAAATTTATGACTTACCTTTGTAATCACAAATGCCTTGAACATTAATACTATGGTACCTCTTGCGATTAACAAAATCCCATTCGCTGTCACTAGGAGCAATTATTCGGATGTGCGTCGCGTCAATACAACTGATCACACATGGAAAATTAGCGATCTCGTAAAAGCCTTGCTTTGTACCATCGCGCTCTTCTTGCGAACTAGGAAATCTTATGAATTGATCTATTCTCCGTGACAAAGCTACGGTAACCCGACGAATAATTCTACTCACAGTAGACTTATCTAAACCGGCGACTGTGTCCCCTGTAACTTGTTGAAAACTTCCCGAAGCTAGGAATCTAAGTGTTATCAACACTTGTCGTATTGCGGAAACAGGATGGTTACGGTTTGTTTGAGGTTGTATGTCATCTTCTACAAGACGAGTTATATATCTAATGGTTTCACTACCGAAGCGATAGCGTTGTCGTAACTCATTATCATTATAATACAATAATATGTCGTCTATTTCACGTCGGAAATTCCTATCAGCGTGTCTATTTACTCTTGGAAGCGCGTAAATATAAATGCCTGGTAATCTATACAACGCCATTTTATAAATAATTTTTATAAAATCTTAAAAACACAGCAATTTATCCGCTGTATAGCGACTTAAACGGTCTCGAGAGACCGTTTAAGTTTATACAGTGGATAGGCAAAATTTAATCGCTGGATAGCGCTAAACGGGCTACTAACAACGCGATTTTTCAAGCGTTTAAATTTTATACGGTGGATAGCGAGTTAAACGGTGGATAGCGACTTAAACGCCCTTCGAACAACCGGCCCCAGAGATGTGGAAATTGTGCTGTCTTGAAAATAATTTTTTAATGGATGTTTCCCTTATCATTTAAATAAAAATTAAACCCTATATATTAATCTAAATGTTTCCTAAATTTCAAGAGGTTTTATTAATTTGGCAATGAGTAACAGCCATTTTTGTGAAGGCAGTCATTAATTCCTAAAATCAGCCATATTGTTTGCAACTTAGTGGGGTAGAACTATTGCAACAGTCTGCAACTTAATGAGTTAAAAACAAACATTGTTATCTTATTTAGCTAATATGCCATTTTTTACAAATTTTTGCCCTTTTCAAAAGCATGTATTAAAAGTTAAACGCCGATATCTCTGGAAATACTGTATCAAAATACACATGGTATATAACAAATTTTAATTTAGACATTCACGAATCTAACGAAAGTTATTTCAGTGTAACAGGCCTCTTAGTTTTGAAGTTATACTCATTCAAACAGGTTAACTTTTTTTTGCGCCACCCGGTATACGCTTAATGGAATCTCCTCAATTCATCGTAGCTCTCATTGTAGTACAATCCATTTTTGGATTTACAGCAGAAGTCACCAAAATATTGCAAGCAAAAGAATGCAATCTTGGATAAGCATACGCAGAAGTAAAGAGGGCAAAAGAGTGTATAAGAACTGCACGAGCAGATGAAACACTGTTGAAGTTGAAATTACAAAGCCACATACTGCAAGAAATCAGCGCCATCGCGCAAATTCTGGTAACGCAAATCAAACTTGTGAAGATTATTACAGAATTAATGTCTACTATCCCTTCATCGATCGGGTTGTTCAGAAGATTGAGACAAGATTTACTTTTGAGCACAAGGGATTGTTAGCCGCCCAAGCACTTGTACCAGTCTATCTGAAGACTCTAACTGTTGGAAAATTGGATGATATAAAAGACTTCTTTGGAAAGTTTCTTACTTTTACCCAGCTAAGTGGTTTTGATACGGAAATTGTACAATGGAAACAGAAATTCTTCGATGTTCCCTTTGAAAGAGAAACCAAAGAATGTGTGTGATGCTATAACAAAGTGTGATGCTGTATTCTATCCAGCAATTAGTAAGATCCTAACAGTTTTCTTGACAGTTCCTGCTGGAAGTGTGTGTTCTGAAAGGTCATTTTCAGCACTTAGCCGCCTTAAGTTATGGACGCGAGTGTCAATGGGTGAGGAATGCGTAAGTGGACTTGCCATGCTTACGATTAATCAAGATTCTTCAAATATTCCAACCGCAGACGATGTTTACGCACGAAAAGCAAAATGGCGCATATAATGTTGTGATGATGATTGGTGAACAAGACGTACAATGACAATTTTGTTTGGCACAATCATGAACTCTAAATACTGTGCTTTTACAGCACTTCTTTATATTCGGGTACCATATTTAAAAATCATGTGTAGGATACACTGATTATATGTTATTAGTAAAACTCTATAACGTAATATTCTATTGTATGCCAATCTAGTCAGCAGGATGATACTTTAATTTCCCGGACGTCGATTATTGTTATTCTAATTCTAAAATATTATTATGAATATGTTGTATGTATGAAAAATGAAATGAAAAATCCTGCGTATGGCCCTGTCCTATAGGGGCCAGTTTACAAAAAAAGATGCAGCATTGATGATGCTATGAACTCTTTTGTTCATGTGAAGCTGTAAGTCGAAATTTCACTGTACATACAATTTTCTAAGAAATTTGCTTGCTAGCACAAGGCACTGGCAAAGCAACAATCAATTATCTGGGATTGCTGATCTTAGATGAACCCATATTTATTAACCAGCGCACAGTACAACACGGACCTTTAAATTCAGAAGTTCCATTCAGTTGCCCAATTCCACTGCTTTACTACCCATAGGTACGAGATTGAACTGTATATGTATTTGAAGATGTCTTTGGCAAAGTTTCTATGCTTGACATTAAACAAATGTACATTTTTTTAGGTTAGTACTAATATACCAAAGTTTTGGAAGAGTGTATGAGGGACCCTCATGTACTTATTCTGGGTGATCAGTTGACACCTTGTAATTGCCTATGGAAGAAGCTTAGAGAGGCCTAGACTTTTTAAAGCAGTTGACACGTGTTTCAAATTGTTCTGCTAAATATGTGCTAGATATTGAATACCCATGGCAATGCACAGTAACATGGGAATTGCTGCAGAAGTTACAATATGCCACATGTTATGTTCGCAAAACTACATTGATGGGAATCAAATGCGGGGGGGGGGGGGGGAAACGATGCATTGACGGATAACGCTGATGTGATAAAGAAAACTACTGTGTTTGGTAAATCTAGCATTGCAAGTGAAGCAGTGGTTTTTTGCAAAATTAATATGAAATTATTGCAGTTGATTCACCAATTTGTCATGAAGATCAATAAAGTTTACAGATTTGATAATACTTATGGATTATGCTCATACTAGTTCAATAGTTCATGTTTGCCAAACAGCATTAATGCCATTCAAAGGTGGGATAAAAAGAAAAACAATGCGTTGATTGGTGATGATCGCATTCCAAGTTGACATCAGTTGACATTAATGTGAATCGAAGGTGGGGAAAAAAGGAAACCAATGCATTGATGGAGAACACTGATGTGATAAAAAAAACTTTGTTTACTAAATCTTGCATTCCAAGTGAAGCGCTGGTTTGATACTCCCGTATAGGAAGAATGTAAAATTATTGGAGTTGTTGGAAAGATTTACTATGAAAATCAATCAAATAAATAAGATGAGATAGTGTGAAAATAAGGAGTGTTGGTGGGAGGAGGTTCATTGGTATGAGGAGAGCAAGAGTTGAGAATACGTCGGATACCGAGTTGTATGGTTATGTGGGCAGAGATGTGGATTCGACCAAATGCACGCCTACTTGACCACAGAAGAAGTTGAAGAAATTGAGCAAATGTTAGGGTTGGTGTTTAGCTGCCTATAAGACTATATATATAGGCAGCTTTATTTTTAAAACTTAAA